TCAGCCACTCCTTACCAGCCTACAGGTGGTGCTCTCCCTTACTTATTTATAGCTCTCTTTAGAATGTGAGTCTCTTTGTCTTACCTCTAAATTTGAGGCATAAGGAAAAGTCCCATCAATAATTCTATGACAAATATCTGCTGAGAGAATGAAATAACGGGTTTGTTGTGCTATCTGATCCACAGGGAGCCCCTGCCCAAACTGGGCTCCCAGGCACGGAAGTCACCGGGCTGGGAGGCATTTATTGAAGGGACTACATTTCCTAATTCACTAAGAGAGCAAAGAAACCAACCAAGGCGCCACCTATCAGGGGCTGAGTGGACCCTCAAGGCCAAATGGAACATCAGAGGCAGAAATGGCTGGGTAAAAAGCAGAAGTGATGGGGCTGGCCCGGTGGCTGAGTGGTTAAGTTTGCGTGCTCCACTGCAGGTGGCCCAGTGTTTTGTCTGTTCGAATCCTGGGCACAGACATGGCACTGCTCATCGAGCCACGCTGAGGCGGCATCCCACATGCCACAACTAGAAGGACCCACAACTAAGAATATACAACTATGTACTCGGGGGCTTTGGGGAGAAAAAGAAAAGAAAAAGCAGAAGTGATGAAAGAAACTATCAGCAGGATGAAGTGAAACAGGAATGAAAAAATGAAAACTGGAAAGATGATGGGAATAGAAAATGAGGGTGACAGAAATATAGAAAGGGAGAAGATGGTGGAGGTGAGAGGAGGAAAGACTAAGAGGCTAGGGTCAGAGAGAGGGACTGGGCAAAGGGAGCGCGCTATAGCTTCCCCAGCTGGAGCGCAGGGGGATGGGCAGAGCAGCTGGTGAAAGAGAATAAGGCCCTGTGGTTACCACTTTCCAGCTGGTGCAGATGGCTCTGGGCTAAATCTGTCCTCCCCTCCCCCTCCCCCGACCTTGCAGCCTTCTGAGGAAGTCGGGGTGGGTGAGGTGGCAGAACAGCAGGAGGTGGGGTGAGCGGAGAGCACACCTCTCCAGGTGCAGGGGCTGCCCCTTTAACAAATGCACTTGAACATAGTCCAAAGGCACTGGAGGAGGTTGACCCTATTATTTCTGGACAAGAAGTGAGGATGAAAGATGGAACCTTTCTAAGACTGCTTTTGTCTCAGTAAGAGTTGTGTGGAATTAACATGGCCAAGGAAACCATTTAAAGTCCAAATCCCCAATGAAGGGTTTTGGAAAGACTTCCTCTCCAAATACCCCAGCTCTATCCCTTAAGGGAGGGCGTTCAGGTAAAGAGTTTGGCACAGCATCTATTTGACATAGATGAGCCCAATTGACGTTAGCTCTCATTAAGCAGCTCCCAACACAGAGTGTCAGTGCCCAGCATGGCCAGGCACTTGATAAACATGGGTAGGGAATGAATGAACTTGTTGCTCCAAGGGTCCTGGTCTAATTTATATGTGCCCCTACCTGGTCCCACCACCAGGGCCCAATCCAAGCTGTTGGTGCAGAGCCAGACATAAAGGCTGCATTCTCCCAGTTCACAGGAGCTCCTGGCCTTGCAAACTTTACGTGTCTCACCTCGTGCTGCCTGTTGGAACAAGCTGGTCCCTGGCTGCATAGCCGATGCACCTGGGGACCATGGGGACCTGGGAGAGACCACTGGAGATTTTAACTTGAGAAGATAAGGAGTGTGGTATCCAACAGCAAAGCACAAGAAGTGGAGGAGAGAACCAAATCCCATGGACGGGCCTAGAACCATGAAGCTAAAGGTCAGAAAAGCAAGGAAGCTTGGAGACATCTCGTGCCTTGCTGCTCAAGAAGTGGTGCATGGACAGTAATATCGGCATCTCCTGGGATCTTATTAGAAACGCAGAATCTTGTTCCCCACTCCCGACCTACTGACTTACAGACTGCATATTAACAAGATCCCCAGGTGATTTGCTGCAGTTAAAGGGAAAACGTGAGAAGCATTGATCTAATCCAAGGCTTTGTTTTACTTAAACTTGCTGCGGTGGAGCCAGCAGAGGGCAGTGCGGCAGAGCTCGCGAGAGCTGACAGGGACATGAAAGAAGATTCTGCGATTTCAGTTCACATAAGGCTGTTCATGGTGAGAACTTTGGGCAAATGCTGGAAAATCTTTGCACAAAAACAAATGGCTTGAGTTCACTGATAATCATCCCATTATGTTCTGATGTATAGAAACATGAGGGGCTGGGGAATACATGAGAATCAGGCTTGGTCCTTATACCAGAACTCCCAGAGAAGCAATTGTCCTGCTGTAGGGTAACAGCTGTCCTTGAGGCAAGCCCGGCTTCACGGGCATGAGACCTGTGCAGTCGAACAGGACCCTGTGCTCATAAGGTTACTGTACTTGGTTTAGTGTTCTGCTGTCACAGTCTTGAAATTCTAAATAATTTTATCTCTCAACTTGTGTTTTTTAAGTGAAGTCCATTGGGACAATGGAGATGCATGCCATATGTATGTCCATCCCTGTTCTTTGTCACCTCATTCACATATATATAGCATTCATGGTACCCCATGAGTACAGAATACAGTGGGTCCACAATGTATGCGAGTTCAGTGAGACTAAAATCAGGTACAAAGGAATTGTGTTATGTAAGCCATTGGTTTCCGTAAAGTGTTGGTAGAATGTGTGCGCATCAAGACATAAAATAAAAGCAGTTAAGTAGGTTTTTTGCAGTGTTTCCACCATTCTTGTGAGAACAAAATCCATATGCATGTATGAGCTATGAAATATGAATTGAGTAATTTCAATGATTCCACATATGAATTAAATGTTCTTGTATTTCATTCAAAACAGTAAAATTCATAATAATAATTTAAAATTTTAATTTTCCTTTACTTAGAACAACATTAAATAGCAAATTAAAAAAATACCATCCCAAGTAAAGAGAGGCTGGGAAAGAAAGGAAAAAGCTTTATTTTAGTACATTTAATGGCAGTTTTCCCCTGCTTTTTTTGTGTGTGTGTGAGGAAGATTTGTGCGCATGTGTGTGTGTCTATTATTTCCCCCAAGAAAACCTCCTCTTCTGCCAAGAAAAAATGAGGGAGGGTTGGCTCAGCAGCACAGCAGTTAAGTTTACACATTCCGATTTGGTGGCCCGGGGTTTGCTGGTTCGGATCCTGGGTGTGGACATGGCACCACTTGGCAAAAACCATACTGTGGTAGGCATCCCACATACAAAGTAGAGAAGGATGGGCACGGATGTTAGCTTAAGGCCAGTCTTCCTCAGCAAAAAGAGGAGGATTGGCGGCAGATGTTAGCTCAGGGCTAATCTTCCTCAAAAAAAAAAAAAAAAGAAGTGAGGGAAAAAGGAAGGACTCTGTGAACAGAAAGGTGATGGAGACAATCTGATCGGAGGATGCAAGCTGATCAGAGATGAGCTTGGGGTGGGATTGCAGGCTAGGCTGAGGGAGAGACTGGGTGTCTTAGGGAGCTCAGGCTACCTGGTGGTAAAAAACAAAACCCAAAGTTTCTTATCATGCATGGCCAGTCTAGACAAGGCACCCGCCTTCCAAGCAATGGCTTAGACCCAGGCTCCTTGCAACATGTGGCTCCACTGCTGAGTCCCTCACTTCCTAGCACATCAATTCCACCTACTTTTTATTGGCTAAAACCAGGCACATGGTCCCTGGCTAGATGAAAGGGGAGCTGGGAAACGGAGCTCTCCTATTGGCCCATGCATTAGTCCGGGTTCTCCAGAGAAATAGAACCAGTAGGAGATACACACACACGAGATGCACAGACACACATATTTAAAGAGATTTATGATAAGAAATTGAGTGATACAATTATGGAGGCTTACAAGTCCCAAGATCTGAGCAAACTAGAGACCCAGGAACGCTGATGGTGCAGGTCCAATTAAAGTCAAAAGGCAGGAGAAACCAAATGTCCCAGCTTGAAGGCAGCCAGGCAGGAGGACTTCCCCCATGCTTGTGAAGGGTGAGCCTTTTTGTTCTCTTCAGGCCTTCAACTGATTGGATGAGGCTCACCCATATTGGAGAGGGTAATCTGCTTTACTCAGTCTACTGATTTAAATGTTAATCTCACCCAGAAACACCCTCAGAGACAGACCCAGAACAGCGTTTGACCAAAGGCTTGGGCACCTGTGTGGCCCAGTCACATTGATACACAAAATTAACCCAGGAGAAATCACGTCCCAGGAGGAAAATGAAAGGGTTTGATTAACACATGGCATTGTGTCTGCTTCAGAAGTGATGAGGGGAGAGGGAGCAGAGGGCTGGACGTGGGGAAGGCTGGTTTGCTGTAAAAAAAGAATGTGGTCTGTGGTGAGGCGGTTTTGTGAAGGGGAAGAACACCCTCTAGTGACCCTCTCAGCTCCAGGCGCACGGGGAGCCTTAGAGGAGGGAATAGAGAGCAAATACTCCAGGTGTTATGGAAGTGGTGGCCTGGCGGCTCCCACCTTCATATAATGGGAGAGCCCGGTGAGAACATTTTGTCAATTTGATGGTTTTGTTGAATTCCACAACACAACTAGGACTTGAAGAGTTGTCTACACAGCAACAACAGTGAAAAGAGGAGGGGGAGCCCAGCTACTCATGGAAAACCTGGCCTGGAGCCTTTTATGTGGTAAAGCTGGATACTCAGTTCTTGGGGAGTAAGCCTGACCACATATTCCCAGGAAACCTAATGAGTATGTTCCTCAGAGAGGCCAGAACAAGGCAAACTATTGGGAAGGAGGCCAGAACTTGGTAAAGGGTTAGTTTGGGAGGAGTGGAGCACTAGGTTTCGCGTGGATGTGAGACTAAGAGTCAGAGACAGCACGAATTAACTCTTCAGCCTTGCTGACACACAGGAGCCTGTGGTCCCAGGCTCTTTCTCTTTGGATCTCAATGGTCCAGTTTGTCCAGGCTAATGGAGCAGACATTGTCCGACAGATTTAGGGCAACTTCAGGAATCCACTTTGACAATCAAATCAAAAGTTTACTTATATAGGAAAACTCTGCAGTGATCACATATCTCGGTGGGAAGAACGCATGTGTAGCTATGTGTGTTGGAAAACAACTAGAGGATATAAAATAAAATATTAACCATGGTTTTAAAAAAGTTAATTTGAAATTCCATGTAGATACCTCAGAAATACACTTTCCCCATGCCATATAGCTAGGGTTTCTGTCCTGGTTAACAGCATGGTGCTGACGAAGACAAGATCCTGTGGTCTTGAAGTTTCACTCCTGAGTTAGAAGAGCTCATCTCAGTTCCACAGGAGGCCAGAAACAGTGGGTACGATGACCACTAGCCAAACTGCAGTCCAAGCTACTCTGAAGGATCCGGCTGAAAGAGCAAGAAAACCCAAACAATTAGGTGTCTTGATTAACGTTTTGAGAAGGGACAGAGATGCTGGACATTGGCATGGGATGCTGTAGCTCAGGGGAATGTGTTTTTCTCCCTGAATCGAGGCCCAGTGTGCCTGGGACACCCTCTCCCCAGATATAAAGTATAAAGAGTCGGAAATCCCTTAAATGTCACTGGATTACCTGAGTCCTGTGCCTGAAGGTTACCTTGGCATGTCATGGGCCTGGGAAAGAATCACTCTCCTACACTGGGCACCAGTACAGTAGGGCAGAGCTTCAGGTGTAGACAGATGACCACATAGTGCTATACACAGCTGACTTTAGCGAAGGACGGACTACTTCCCCTCTCTGCTTCTTCGCTTCACTAACCGTCTGTACCAACTAGGAGGAAGAAAGGGAAGAAAAAAGAGAGATAGGAAGAGAGGGGAAGAGAAGAGAACAGGAACAAAGGAGGAGAGGGAAGGGAAGAGGACGGGAGGAGATGGGGAGCGACAGAAAATAAAAAGAAATGAATGCTAAAAAAAGGAAGGAAGATGAGGGGTGCTTTTCTATGATAATTTGGGTGGCTAAAAAGTGACAAGATGGGTTTAGCCCTTCCAGAAAAATGGATGTCTTATTGTTTTCACCCTCTCTGTGGATGAGCAGCCACAGAGATTGTGTCTCTTCCTTTTTCTGGATCTCAGGATGTGGCATTGATATGAAGATGATGTAGTTCCAGCCCAGCCAACTTATGGTCTCATGGTCAGACACCAAACTGTCACATTGGCTCTGTGGTGGCAGAAAAGCAGGGCATATCAGGAGAGACTAGAGGAGACATGATCAGTTCGTTGGGAAGAATAAAGAACAGGATGCAGGATTCATGCTCCACGTGTGGGAGCAGAGGCAGAGAAATCAGCATAAGTTGGGAGAGTAGACTGGGTCCAGGAAGATGGTGAAAGAGCAATGTCCCTGGGGCCATGGTCCTTGACGACTGGGCATGACAGGGAACTCAGGTAAATGTTGGTACCACAGATATGAGTTATTCTGGAAGGGTATGTAGACCAGGACTCGGGAACGTGATTTGAGGGGTGTGGAGAATACAGAGGCTGGAATGCTGGAGACAGTGATCCAAATTTATTAAGGGGTCCCCCAAACCCCTATTGTCTCTGGAATTGAAGGGACTGGGCCTAATTCAGCTACTATTCATTGAAGACTTGTCAGGCACTGTGCTAGGTAGGTTATCTGTATTGTCTCATTTAATCCTTATAACAGCATGAGATAAGATTATTTTGCCTGCTATTTGAGAAGGACATGGGAGCTGGCCCTGTGGCCGAGTGGTTAAGCTTCCATGCTCTGCTTTGGCGGCCCAGGGCTTCGTTAGTTCAGATCTTGGGTGCGGACATGGCACTGTTCCTCAGGCCATGCTGAGGTGGCATCCCACATGCCACAACTAGAAGGACGCACAACTAAAATATACAATTATGTACTGGGGGGATTTGGGGAGAAAAATCAGAAAAAAGAAAAAGAAGATTGGCAACAGTTGTTAGTTCAGGTGCCAAAAAAAGAAAAAAAGAAGGATGTGACTTGGAGAAGGTAAGTAACTTGCTTTGCTAGTAGGTGATAATACCAGGTTTTTGACTCCAAAACCTGTAATCTTACTGTCTGATCTTAGCTCTCCCACTATAGGACCTGCTGAAGCCTGATAGAGAGCCAGGAGTGATGCTTGAGTGAGTGGATCCTCCCAGGAGACAGAGGAATCTGAAACACGAAACCCAGAATTCGCCTTTCTAAATTCATCAAGGAGCATACATCTGGGGAGGAGAAGAGAGTCTCCACCTTAGGTTAAGGTGCTCACTCCTGTTCATGACTTGTTCTCACTCCTGCTCATCTTTTTGGCCCTTCTTTGCTGATTTAGGCTGTCTACCAGAAACCCCCCTGTGCACCTGCTCAACATTGTCTGGACTGTTCTCCCACTTGCCCTTTTTCTCCCTGCTCACTCTGATATCTCAAAACATTCTATAATAAACCTCGCCTCAGATACTAGGACCATACATCGTTAGAGTGGGGGAGGAGAAGGGGACGTCCTGCGCCAACCACCCTTTGAAGGTGAGGACGCTGAGCTCCACAAAGGCTAGGTGAGTTTGGGGAGAGGTGGTGGCAGAGCCATGAGTGGAGCTCAAGACTGACAGATGCCTTTGGGATTCTCCACCAAGTTCTACACCAGGAGGCTGAATAGGATCCCCACACTTTTCTTCACTCAAGAGAAAACTAGTTACGTGGTGCCCACCACAGCTCCCTTGTGAATATTTCTTACCGGAGTCATGGATGGTGACTGGGACGGTGCTAGAACTGTTGCTCACAGGATTGCTGACTTCGCAGGTGTAAAACTTCGAGTAGTTTTGTGGCCCAATGGTGACATTGAACACACTAGTCTGGAGCTCTTTTGGAAGGGGCCCTGAGTCTGCACGCCAGCTGTAGTTTACAGACTGGTCTGGGACCACGCATGATATCGTCAGATAATAACAGCTGTTGTTCACTTTCTGTATCTTGATGTCTACGACAGGCTTAGGTACAGGATCTGAAGATGAGGAGGACATCGTGAGACAATGGATTTATGCATTTATGAGGCATTTATGCTGCAAGGATTTAGCCAACAAAGTACAAACGGAGGGGCCCCTGAGTGCTGTGGCAAGCAGAGTCATGAAGAAGAGGAGCCTATAGAGGGAGCCAACGAGCAGCTTCGATCTCCAGAGGCTTCAGACTGGAAGGCTACTCCTTGGGGTGAAGCTAAGCTGGATCCAGGAGGGGGAGCCATGCACCCAGAAATAAAATGGGGTTATGACCATCTGGAGCAGGAAGAATGGTCGCTTGTTGGCAGAGAGATCTGCTGAGGTCAGACTTGGAATGGTCACATAGCAGGTATTCTCTAAGTATTTGATGAAGGGATGGACGGATGGATGGATAGATAAAGCAGTTGTGAGAAAGGACCAAACATTAGCTTTGGAGTGAGACCAGTCCTGGTCCTAGACTTGGCTCTGGTGGAGAGTTATTAGGCAAGATCATTAACCTCTTGAACTTCCTCCTCCTTTGTAAAATGACTCTACTGCATAGCCCAGTGTTAGTAAGATAAAATGGCACCACCCATAAGGAAGTGCTTTTTGCAGAGTGTAAGTGCTATGTTGGAGGGCACATCCCATCACAATGTTGTCCTGCTGCCAGATGGGATGAGAAGTAATCTCAGCGTCTGTTCCTTCCTTGGCTAAGGCTGCTTTGCCTGAAATGCTCTGGGGTCTTTTTATTCTGGTCAAGGGGAAAGCATCTGCAGAATCAGCGCAGCTCAGACGTCATAGGATCATGACGGAGAACTGACCAGATCAGCACCTGCCTCTGGGTTGTATGTGTGTGGAGGGGCTATGGAAGCTCTGTGAAAGCTTCTCAGATTGCTGGACTCCTCCTGCACACTGAGCACTTTTTATACTGTTTGTCATCATTTCCTGTGGTCTAGCCTCACATCGTACACATCTTCCGCATTTCTCACAGTGAGCAGCACTGGACACTTTGTGTAGGGGATTTATTGAGCCAGCTGGAGTAGTCTGGCTCCAAGATGCCCTCTTTGAGCTATCAGAAATTCCTGTGCTCGGGGCCAGCCGGTGGTGCAGAGGTTAAGTTCGCCTGTTCTGCTTGGGCAGCCCGGGGTTTGCTGTTCCCATCCCACGGTTCAGATCTATGCACCGCTCATTAAGCCATGCTAAGGCAGGCGTCCCATAAATAAAGTAGAGGAGGATGGGCATGGATGTTAGCTCAGGGCCAATCTTCCTCAGCAAAAAGAGGAGGACTAACGGCAGATGTTAGCTGAGGGCTAATCTTCCTCAAAAAAGAAAAGAAAAGAAAAGAAAAGAAAAGAAATTCCTGTGCTGGACTGAAGGATGATTCTCCCGCTAATCACATCCTGAGGGGCTTCCCCTCAGGCGAATGTGCTGAAGCCAAGCCAGCTTGTGGATTTTAAAATATTCAGAAATTTTGCAAGCTGGTTGTGGAAACATTAATAGCTTGAAATTAGTTGTGGTGGGAGTATTTACCATAGACATTGGCAAATGATACAAATTTAGGCTTTTTTTTTTTTTAAACACAATTGTAAGAGTCTTTGAACCTTTCCTGTTCCCAGGACCTCGTGAATTCTCAGGGCATGTGACATGGAGGAAGTGAGCGAGAAGGGGACTCCAGCCTCCTAGACAAGGGACCACATTTTTGGTGGAACCTGAATATATACAACATTTGCACTGTTTTAGCATTTAAAAAATGTTTTACCTTTCATGATCTACTTTGATTCTCATAACATCCTAAAAGGTAGATATAATTATCCTCATAACATGATGAAGAGCTCAAGGCTTGAGGCGTACACTGCTCTTGGCTGCCCAGCACCTCTTCTCTGATAATTGCACACCTTAACCCCAGGGAGGCCTCCCGAGGAACCATGTTTCTGCTTTATAACCTGATTCTTTGGGCCATAAATATTTGGATAAGATACACATACCCAAACTAAGTTGGGTTAATCAGTTTCTCTCTCTTGAGAATTTAAACAGAGACACAAAAGTCTAGGCTTTGAGAGACAAGTCATTGAAATGGCAGGGACCCATAGGCACAGTCCACAGATTCCTGAGGCTGGGGTCTCCGCACTGGCCCTGGTTCTCACTTTTCCTTTCCTTCAGCCCTTCCTGACTCTTCTAAACTCCTTGATTGCTTTCAATAGTCCTGGTTTCTTTAAATTCTCCTTTTTTGCTAAAGGTACATCGAATTAGTTTCTGTTTCTTGCTGTCAAAAGAACCTTACTTAATATGGGCACAGAGATGTTAAGATCTTTCTCCAAGGTCACACAGCTAGCAAGTGACTGACCAGAGTTTTGAATCCAGGTCTGTCTGACTCCAAGTATAATGTCCTAGTCCTTATTCCATATATACTATTTAGGCTGAAGCTCTGAGTGGAAGTTTTTGTCCCACCCATGTTGAAAGGTAAAGAAAAAAACTCTCCTCAGTAGCTCCAGACCCATCCTTTCTTTCTTGTACCTTTTTCTTTAAGTCTGATGAAGTCTTTGTTCAGATATATTATTAATACCAGCTCAGAACTGATTTAAGCTGATCACAGGAGAGTAAGAAGAGAAGAGAGAGGAAACCATCACTATTGTTTTTTTTCTCTTCAAATCTTAGACTCACTAACATCAGAAGACATTCTAAATATCCCAAGGCTATCAATTTGGGTTCTCTTGGCCTGAGCTCACTCTCAAGTGGAATTGGCTCCAGGAGAAATGAATTAAGCCTGGGATTTTTCTCTCCTCCTCCCACAGAGAGTCCCCATCATTCCCAGGAAGCCTCCCAGTGGTCCATCTGGGGTCCCGGAGTGGGGGCTTGCCCTTTGGTTCTCCTAACTCACCAAATACCTTCAGTGGAACCTGCCATTCCTCCTCGTTGCCGGTTACCTTCACTACCCTCAGGAGGTAGGTACTGCTGTCCTCTTTCTGGACGTTATGGATGTCAAGTGCACCATTTGTGAGGTCAAGCTTGACCTTGTCCTTAAATTTAGACTTGAAGTAGTTGGGTTCGCTGGACTCCTCATATTCTACAATCTTCTGTTCAGGGGTGTAAAACCAAGTGAGCTTTTTGTACTTATCAGGCAAATTGGAAATTTGAAGTCTCACATTTCTGCCAGAGAGCGCGTTCACCGGAGATTCTGAATGACCTGCCAATGAGGGTCAGAGTGAGATCCATCTTAGAGAAAGCAGAGCGGCCCAGGTTTTGGCCTGGGCTGGTGGAACAGGGAAGAAGAAAGGGACTTGTGCGTGGGAGCGGTGAGTAGGGTCTTCATCAGAGGGCCTGGCTCCCTCATCAGGAATTCAATGAACGTTGGGGCTTGGGAAGTGGGAATGGGGCCAGAGGATGTTGCTTATAGTTCATGTAGTTCTGGCCCAGACAATAAATAAAAGCGACCTTGAGGCTGGCCCTGGCTCTCTCCCTTACTGTCATACTAGTAGATTTTCAAATAAATTGATGAGAAGTTATGAATAAAAGATGACTATTATGACACTGGAAGCAGAACAGCGGAGGATGAGGTGCCCAGGAATTCTCAAAAGAAGCAACATGAAAGTGTAGAGTATAGCATACAAGGTTTCAGATAGCTATAGCTGAAGGCAAAGCGGCCAAGGAAAACCTTGAAATATGAACCTAGCAGCCTCAGATTCGTGCTTGAAAGTAGCAAAGGAAGCGTGAATTTTGTTGTGAAATATCTAATGAAAGGGTGCCCTGGAAAAGCAACATACACCTGAAGATAGACACAGTAGAAAGAATGCTTGATTGTTTACAAAAAAAGAGAAAGAAGAGATTCTAGTGTTCTGAAAGGACTCTATAATCCAGTCACAAGTTGAAGAAGAAAGATAGATTAATTTTACTAATATAGATTGCAAAATTAATGCAGAGACATTATAATACAATTTGGGGTATTAAGGTAGTGGTTTAGTCTGCTAACAGAGGCTTATCTGATATTTTTCTTATGTATAGTATATTTATATATTTTTTCAATTTTTAAAGTAAATTGACAAAATCTTGATTTGCATTCCTAACAATTCCATATTTTAGAAGGTAGGGGAAGCAACCTTAAAGAAAGCCACACTTCCGATTTAATTGTAACAGAAAGAAGTAGTTGGTTATGTGTCTGGATGCTTCGGATAAAAGAACTGTGTTTGCGTGTAGTTTATAATAGAAAATGAAGCAGATCTTTCCTGTGCCTACCCATATTTCTTGTATCTAGAAAAGCAAAATTAAAATGGGAAAAATAAATCTGATCAAAGAAACTCATAATTTCACACCAAAGAGTCTACTCCGGAAAGAGGAAGAGGTTCTAAAGAGGCAGTTTTGATTACTCTAAAAACAAGTCACGTGGTTTCTAGTAAAACTATTAAGGAAGGAAGGAGGTGAGTTTTCAAGATATTGATATGGAGTCTCCTGGAGCTCTCTGATGGGATCAACTGTTCAAGAATCCCGTGCAAAACTTTTAAGGATGTAATTTGGCAACGGATATCAAGACCCAGAGTTGTATCATGGGTGACAAGATGCACAGAGTACCATTTCTGAGATGCAAAGTCCAAGGAGTTTAACAGACCAGACTGCAATGAGTCAAGGACTACATGGGCGGCGAGGAAGAGGAGACGACAAAAGTAAACTATTTTTTAAAGACATTTCAGTGTGAGTGGGAAGGAGAATGGTAGGGCATTATGTAAAGCGGCATGAAAGGTAAAGAGAGTTTTTTGGTTTTAGTTTTTAATTTTATTTAAGGAGAAAAAAGACTTAAACTATGATAAATCAGGGGAAGGAGCCAGTGGATGGGGAGACATGAGAGAGAAGGAAGGTGACTCATGGGACTGGGCTAGAGGCGGTTCAGACAGAGTTCAAGGCACAGGCCTTGGCTGGGAGGGGAGGTACCTTATCCTCTGAGGGACAGAGGAGAAGGAAAAGACAGTTGGTGATGTAGAGTAGTTTGCAGTTTGGAGGTGGTGGGCAAGCAATTGAGGAGATTCCTGCCTAATGATCTCTAGTCCCCATTTCCTTAGTGACGTAGGAGACAAGTTCTTTCCTGGAGGACAGAGAACTGAGGTAAGGGGCCTTGACGGTAAGAGTGAAAGTTCGAAATAGCCACTGTGGGAAATGGGAGAAAGAATTTATCAGGGCCAGTAAGGCTACTCTGAGATCCCAACTTGACTGAAACAATGACTTACAACTTCCTCCTTCCCTTCCTTCTTTTCCTCCCTCTATCATCCATCCATCCACACTACATCATTTGACATCAATTTATCTACTCAACTAATAATTGTAGAGTAAGAGCATACTGTGTATTAGGCTCTGTGCTAGGCACCATGCATACAATAAGATAAATATAGCTCCTTCCCTTAAGGAGCTTCCAGTCCAGTGGAAACAGAATTAATCAGATGATTTCTCTACTGGTGATAAGTGTCAGGATAAAGAAAGTATGGAATGCTAAGGGAGCACATCACTTGAATTTGGAGGTCAGGAATGGCTTCCATAGAAAGTGTGAGTACGAATTAATCTAAGTAGAAATTAGCCAGGGTAAGAAGGGATCTGGGAGTAACTCTTTCTCACTCGCCATGGTGGCTATTAAAGAGTTTTTAAAAGAAGAGTAAAATAAATAGATAACCATTTTAGGAAATTTATACTGATAGCAGTGTGAAGAATACACTAGATAGAGAGAAGAATAGAGTGAAAAGAACAGTTAGGCGTTGATTGTAATACTTAGATAAGAGGAAATGGTGGCGATCTAGGATAGGTGGTTTGATCTGGCAGCGGAGGCAGATGGAATTAGATATATCTGAGAGCTATTTTTGAAGGTCAAATTAATAGGACTTATTCATTGGACATGAGAGGCAAGGGGAAGAAGGGAGTCGAAGATGACTCCTAGACTTCTGGCTTGAGCCACTGGACAAACAGATACGCCATTTATCGAGACAGGAAATAGTGGAGGAACAGCAGATTATAACAATGTTTTTAAAGTATGCAAATGTTTTGGCACTCCTCCCATCAAGAGGTGGAGTCTATGTCCCCTCTCCTCGATGAGTGCCTCAATGAATAGAATACAGCAGAAAGGAGACCCACAAAGCTAGGTTAGAAAAGACCATGTAGCATTTGCCTGTTTCTCTTGGGACACTCCCCGAGGGAGGCTTCGGCTGTTGTGTACAGAGCCCAGCCACCCAGCTCTTTGAGTCTTGCTCAGCTTAGACACCAGCCACATGCATGAAGAAGCCTGAGAGATGACCCCATGCTCCACCATGATCTGGTTGCAAGGGCGTGAGACACTCTGAGGTGCTGGGCACAGCCAACCCTCATTTTCGATTATTTTAAGCCACAGTGTTGTGGTAACTTGTTACACAGAAATGGATACCTGGAACCAAGATGATGAGTTTGATTTTGGACATGCTTTTGGAGATGTTTAAAAAGCAGTAAGCAGTTCAGGTCAAGGGCTCAGGAGAGAGATTTCGGCTTTGGAGTTCTCTTGTGCTCTTTCCAGGCTCTTATCTGTCTCAGAATGTGTATGCCACAATTGCAAAGCAATTTCACACTCTTTATTCCATTTGATCTTGATAGCAACCCCTTGAAGAAATGGGGAGCATATTATTATACCCATTATAGAGTTGAGGAAGCTGAGGCTCAGGAAGTTTTTATGATCTATAGAAAACCCTGTGGCATGGAACACAGATAGAACATAGGTCTTCTGAGCCCCAGTGATGAGGATTTTTAGGCTGCTTAATTTTAAAACGGTTTATGATGAGGATTTTTAGGCTGGTTACTTTTAAAACTGCAGATGAGAAGCAGACTCTGAGGACTGGAATTTTGCTTGCCCCTTTGAGAGACATTTGCGTTTGTGAAGGAAGGGGGGATGACCTTGTAGGGACCTGAAATTGGCCACCCCAGGATATGTCTCTTTGGCATCGGGACTGTTTGGGGCTGATTGTTTTCGATAACAGGGACAGGGAAGGAGGCTCTGGGAAATGGAACTTGCCCTTGTTGGGACACATTTACATTTGTAAGGTAAATCTCTATCTGTAAAAGGTGCCTCCTTCTCTGTACCAGGAAGAAGAAGGGAGATGACCTTGTCCCTAGAAACTCTTAATGGGGAAGGCAAGAACTTAAGTTGGTTGCTGTCTGGCAATCTCATGTAACTGATTTAGGGTGGTGGCTTCTAACCTTTCTAACCTTTACTTAATCCAATTTGATTCTTGTCTAAAAATCGTGGGATCACCCAATGACCAGACCCCACCTGCACTGATACCATTTTAACTTTTTTTCATGTTCTTTCCTTTGTCTTGTAAAGAGATGACTCACATACCCATGCTTTATAAAATTAGCCCTAACCCTCAACTCGGGGCAGCAGCAGGAGCTCTGACTGCCCGTGGGTCCTGTCCCCAGGCACCAGCTCTGCCTGCCCATGGGTCCTGTCCCCATGCCAGCGGGGGCAGCAGTAGAAGCTCTGACTGCCCATGGGTCCTGTCCCCATGCTATTCTATTCTCTAAATAAAAGAGCACTACGGCCAGATCTTAAGAGTCTAAGAAATCTTTCTTTCGACTCCTGGACTCACTGACCCCGCATCACCAGTACATGCTGTTTCCACTGCATTCTGCTAAGTGCTATGGGGAGACCAGGAAGATGGCTAGTAGTAGAGGATGCCCTGAAATCAGAGAGTTGAGAGACTCAAGTCTGAGGAGGGATGCAGGAAGAGATTTAAAAGTGCTTTTCAAATTTTTCCACAAATGTATCCCTTACTGCAGAGGACAGAACCACTTTATCCCCAAGAAGATTTGGACGTATAGCCCTAAAGAAAGTTCTTTGAAATCATTCATTCATTATTTAACAATTATTTATTGAGCGCATGCTACGTTCCAGGTACTGTGCTAAATTCAGCACTGGACGTTGTCCTTATCCTCACGGAGATCAAGGAAACAACCAAACAAGCAATTCCCCGACCATGACTGGAGGCTGAGGTTTCCAGGAAGTCACATGCAAATGGAGGCCTAAGGGAGGGAAAGAGGAGGGTGCCGGAAAGGCTTTTTACTAAGACCTAGAGGTAAAAGAGAAAGCATCTCCTTCAAGTCACACAGCAAAGTTAAATTTAGATGGAATGTGGTTAGTAGGGGGAAGTCACAAATGGAGGATAAGACAACCATCTATGGGCATAATCTACGCACGAAGAGATTTAGACAACCGACTTCATGTCTAGAGACTCCTGAGATATTCCAAGAAGAGAGGCCCTAGACAGTGGGCAGCTGTAACAGGAAAAGAAAGTTAGCTCAGTTCCTGGGCACACGAGGGGGACCCGAACAAGCCCATGGCCAAGGAATGAACCTTAACTCTTAACAACCCGTTGTTTGGGGGTTCCTCCGGTACTGAGGCACCTCAGGCCTCTGCTCAGACCCTCATTGAGAGACCGTAGACAGAGCCATCCTTTCCAAGTTTTCTTTCCTACAGTTTTGATCTCTCTTTGGGACAATGACAACATCATTTATTTACCTTGCCTCAGGACACGACTCCCTGCAAAGCAGAGGTCTCAAAGAATGCCTCAGACAGCACAGTGTACCTGAGCACAAAATGTGGCCATTTCAGTGTAGAGCTTCCTCTTATTCAAAATGCAAAAGAACTTCACAGAACACAACCAGGGGACTAAATACAAAGGGCTTACCCCTCCATCTCCCCAGGGTCCTGTTTTTGTCTTTCCCTTGGGAAAAGAGATGGAGCCCGAGTCTCCAAAGCTAAAGGATCCCCTCCAATTGGCCACAGCCCTGCTACCGGGATGGAAGTATCTGCTCCTGGAGACCACACTCCATTTCCAGGGTTGAGCCACACGCCATATTTCTTTTTGCGCCTGACCATGCCCTCAGCACACAATCACAGGCAGACAATTCGTGGAAAGTACCTTGAATGCTGGTCGCCAGGAACCAATGAGGCAGCAGCAGAAGTTCCAGAGCCAGACACCACTCCCGCCTTCTGGAGCACATGCTACTCTCCAGAGCTTCCCAGGAATGCTGGAGACAGGCTAGAACCACGCTAGAAAGGGACCTACGGCTCCAGAAATCTTGAATTCGTGGCCTGAGGTTGAGAAAAACACCCAGTCACATTTTGTCTCCACCCAGCAATCGTGGGTGTGGCCTGGAAGACCAGAAACAGGAAGCTCTAGAGGTTTTGTCTGAGAGTCCCACGGAAATGAAACGGGTAATTTTGTTTGCATGTGTGTTGCTTCTGATTTCTGAGGAGAGGGTCCGTAGCTTCCATAGGATTCTCAGGAGGGTCAGTGCTCAGCAAAGATTAAAGGCCCCTGATAGAGAATATCTGCTTTTGGTTTCCCAGGCTAGAATCACCCTAATTAAGCCAGAAGCTAAAACTAAGAGGTGTCCACCCAAGCTTGCAAGGGATTTCTGGGCTGAGCCAGCTGTAAGTCATGCGAGGAGTAGACCATGTGTGGGTAAGTCTCACTCAGAGCAGAAAGTCTGGGAAATCAGATCTACACAGCCTTACTCCTGTATCTCCCACTCCCTAAGCCCCACCCTCAGGCTCTTCCTCCCTTCTGATAAATTCACTGTTTGAACCTTTGCATCAGCCTACCCACTAAACATTAGTGGAACAATAAGATAACTAGGCAGGTTGGCCCAGTGGCCCAGCGGTTAAGTTTGCACTTCTGCTTTGGCAGCCCAGGGTTCACCGGTTCTGATCTCTGGTGCGGACATGGCACCACTTGTCAAGCCATGCTGTGGTAAGAGTCCCACATATAAAATAGAGGAAGACGGCATGGACGTTAGCTCAGGGCTGTCGGTGTCGCAATCCAATGTACACATCAGGATAGATGCGGAGAGGGCTGATGGCCACACTGAGTTTATTATAACCAGCGTTTCAATATATACATAGCTTACAGCTGTTAGACATACACAGGTGTTCTGGATGAAGTAATTAGCGAATGCCAAGAATTCTTAGTAATTTCTCAAGGAGCCCTCCCTTGGACTCTGTTTTGATATTATCATGTTATTGCTGTGCTCCTATATTTTTATCTCGGAGCAGGCAAGGTCTCTTAGGCAACGGTCCCTCTTGCTCCCGATATCGATATCGTTTCTCCATCTGTGCCCCCCGCGGCCGCTGCCTGGCTTAGGTTGCCCCCCCCAGGGGGTCTTACCCGTCATTGGCTAACCGGCCTTCTCACCTCCGGGTCACAGTTTGTTGGCAAGCTTTTTCCAGTGATTATTAACCCTTCCTGTGTCAGGGGCGGCTACAAGGGCCAGTCCTCCTCAGCAAAAGGAGGAAGATTGGTGGCAGATGTTAGCTCAGCTAATGTCAGCTAATCGTCTTTAAAAAAAGAAAAAAAGTAAGATTACTTGGCCCAAAGGAATGGATTCCCTACCCTGTGGTCTAAGAAATTTCAAGCCCATCCCTCTTTAATTTAAATGAATTATTTGCTCACCTGGGCACTTTGGCGACCCATAAAGCAAGCTACAGTCCCTGATACAGTGTATTTGTAATTATTTCAGAATTGGGGATATTCCTGATTTTCAACATGGAGGTGACCAGTAAAAACACTGCTCTCTTCAATCTGTGAACTCCTGAGGAACTCCTGGGGAAACTGAGTCAGCTCAATACCTGAAGTTTCATATGACACCCCATACACTTGATTACATTGGAGCCCTGCGAGGTGAGAAGGGCAGGTACTATACCCTGCCTTTTTTAGCTGATGCTTGGGGCCAGACTTGCCGGAGGTCATGCTTCAGCTCCAGTCTTCAGCTCTTCCCCCAGCGTGGGCTACAGTAAATCTTTGGACTAGAAGAGAAGATGAGACAGGAGTGGAATGAGCAAGGTTGAAGTGGAGTTAACTAGGGGAGATTTTAAAGCAAATCACGAAAAGGGAGCACAAAAGCTGAAGTCACAAGAGTGGGGAACCAGGCGGGCTTTGCTCAGACCCTGACTCCTCTGCTGAGTTACCACAAGTGCTGCTGCCAGTGTTTTGCTAAAGCATTTGGGGCGTTAACTAGCACAAAAATAACAAAACCTATTTCCAACCCTCCTGGGAGGAGGGGCACTACCGGCCGGCTGGGCTCAGTAGGGGGCGGTACAACACTGCGTGTGTCTGCGTAGGCTCCAATTGGACAAGAGTCCCCCGTAAGGCTGAAAGAACAGGAACCAAGAACAATATCCTCGGGATAGACCTAAGCTTTAAGAGGCAGGCAGAAGACAGGGATTCTGAAGAGGAAGAGGAGAAGGATTTGTCGGATAGACAGAAGAGAGTCTAGGAGAAAGTGATGTCTCAAAAAATAAGCGAAAGAACTTCAGAACTGTATCCAGATTAGCAAAAAGTGTGTCCATTGCATTTAGTCATTGTGTGGTCACTAGTAACCTTGACCTTGATGAAAGCCATTTTAGTGGAGGCAACAGCCAGATTCTCCTTTCCTCTTTTCCTTTCTCCCCCCTCGCTATATCTATTGGCTATATCTTGAGATATATCTGAGGATGTAGAAATGAAAGCCACACTGCTACCTGCTTTTAAAGCAACTCACAGTCTCATGGAGGAAATACAGAAGCAAAGCATTAAAATGCGGTTGTGAAACAGGGAACATAGCCTACCTGATAAAAACTGCACATGGTCAGATGAGGCTGCTGAGAGGGAAGTGAATAGCTGTGGCTCCTTTGAAGAACAGGGGAAGCATATTACATAAGGAAGATGAATGTGGACAACATCCGAGAAGCCAGAGAATGGAGGATATTTTAGCGTGGCTAAAATAAAGAAAAGACTGGAAAGGAACCCAGTTCCGGATAGCTAAGGCTTTAGTGTGCATGAGGATGAGGTTTTGGATTCTATCCTGAAGGCTTTCAAGGGGAGGTAATTAAAGGGTTTTGAGCAGATGAGTGACATACTTCAATTCACAGATTAGCAGGAAAACTGATGAAGAGGAGAATGAGACTAGAATCAAGGAGACCTTAGACAGCTATTGGAAGAAGCCGGCTAAGCAGTAATGAAAGCCTTAGCTGAAGCAGGGGTGGTGGGATGATGAGAAATCAGAGCTAGAACTTGGTAGCTGGTTTTGTATGGGAGTAGAGGGAGAGAGAAAAGTGAGTCTGGTTGCTGGCTTCAGGATGATCAATTCAGTGGATAGAGAAGGGACAAGTTGGGACATGAGAGATAAGTTCAGTTTTGGATATGTTAAGATTAAGACGTTTAAGACACAGTTGAATATGTGGATCTGGGGCTCAAGAGAGAGATCTGAACTACATATCAGATATATGAATAATCAGTGCACAAATTATGGTGAAATCACACCATGTAGAAAAAGAAACTCTCTGGAGAAGAATATGTAAAGTGAAAAGGGTGTTGAAAAGGGAGCTCCCTGTGTCTTAGTTCATCTGGGCCACTAAAAACAATACCCTAGACTGGGTGACTTAAACAACGTTTATTTCTCACAGTTTTGGAGACTGGGAACTCCACGATTAGGACACCAACAGATCCAGCATCTGGTGAGGGGCCCACTTGCTGCTTCACAGAAGGCTGTCTTCTTGCTGTGTCCTCACATAGTGGGAAAAGGGAGGAAGCTCTCTGGGGCCTCTTATCAGGGCACTAATCCCGTTCATGAGGGGTCCACCCTTATGACCTAATCATTTCCCAAAGCTGCCACCTTCTAATACCATTACTTTGGGGATTAGGTTTCAATATATCAATTGGGGGTGGGGGGCGGGACACCAACATTCAGTCTATAGCATCCTGGTAATACCAACATTTAGGGAATGATAATGGAAGAGGCATACACAAAAGGAGACTGACAAAGATTTGCTCGAAAAGTAGGAAGAAAATTAGAGCATTTTAAAGGAAGTCAATAGGAAATAAGAGAATTTGAAGAACTGAGATGTTAACAACGTCAAATGCTGCAGAAATGAAATGTAATAGGTTCTGGAGATGTGTCCACTGTAAAGTATATAAACAGGTAATTTACAGAATAAGAGTAAGAAAATGCCCAAGAAACATGAAAAATGCACATTCATACTAGGAATCAGGGAAATGCAAAGGAAACAAATAATGATAGCATTGCTTATCAAATTGGAAAAAGTAATTTAATTGATAGATTCCAGTGGTGACAAGATTAGATTTCTAGTTTCCTCTGAAACCAAACATGTACACTCTTTATTGGAGTATAAATTGGTGCTGTCTTTTTGGAGGGACATTTGATGTTACTTGTCAAAATTTTAACTACGTAATAACCTTGGTACTCTGTTCTACTTATAATAATCTATATACAAACACACTGGCACGATTGTACTAGGATAAATAAAACATAAAATGGTGTTCATTACAAAATAATTTATAGTGGAAGAAGTTGGAAATGACCTACAAACACCAGTCAATAGGAAGTTGGATGAATAAATTACGGTAGAAACATACCGTGGGACAATATGGAACTGTAATACGAAATGACATAGAACAGAATGTATTGATTTAAAAGAAATGTCCATGATATACTGCTGAGGAAAAAAATTGCAGATAAATATATACGACAGATTCCTAATTTTGTTAAAATCTGTGCTTGTAGGGAGAGTTGTGTATAATATGGTTTCTATGTATATAAAGAGATCTGAAATAATTCACATAAAATTGGAAACTCATGTCTAACTCAGGAATGAGGTGGAGAAGTTTAAGTAAAGCTTTAACCCTTCATTATTTGATTTTTTACAATGCACGTTTTCATCCTCTTCCTATTCTCATCTGTTACTATGTATTCAAAAGGAGTAAGTCTCCATTGAATTTAATAAATCAGCAATATCAAATGATTTGTGGGAAAAATCTCAGTTTGCAGTGACTTGAGAAATAAACGAGAAGTAAAAAAGTGGGTACAGGAAGTCTAAATTTAAAAAAAAATGTGCATGGGGCGGGTCCCGTGACCGAGAGGTTAAGTTCGCACGCTCTGCTTTGGCGGCCAAGGGTTTCTCCGGTTTGGATCCTGGGCGTGGACATGGCACCACTCATCAAGCCATGCTGAGGCGGCGTCCCACATAGCACAACCGGAGGCACTCACAACTAGAATATACAAC